ATTACAGTAGATGGGGTAGAGAGAGAAGATGGGAGGGGAAGGGAGGGGAGGGGGGATAGTAGAGGATAGGAAAGGCAGCAGAATACAACAGACACTAGTATGGCAATATGTAAATCAGTGGATATGTAACCGATGTGATTCTGCAATCTGTATACCAGGTAAAAATGGGAGTTCATAACCCACTTGAATCAAAGTATGAAATATGATATGTCAAGAACTATGTAATGTTTTGAACAACCAACAATAAAATTTTTTTAAAAAAGAATCAAATAAAAAAAGACACTAATGTCATCATGGGGTTCTCACCCCACCCAAGCATGATTACCTCCCAAAGACCACCTTCAAAGTCCTAGTCACATATGAATTTGGAATTAAATTTCCAACATAATAACTCTTGGAGAACACAAACCACAGCAGTAGGTTTTTGTATGTGTGGAGGCTCCCTGGGAGGACATAGGCAGGGGTTTCCAGATGGATATGGGGTCCTTAAGTATCCTGATATCAGGAACGATTTTTGTGGGCTTTCCAATGTTCGTGTCACAGATCACTTATTGGGATTATACAAATCACTCATGCTATCCCTAGGAAAGATAAGTCCCATGTAGCCACCTCTCCGACTCCCGCCAGTCTTAAGAGAAGCTCCTCTCAATGCCCACGCTGCCTAAGTCTGCCATGATGAAGGCCAGCTACTGTCCCCCAGGGAATGACTGACTCAAATAAGTAACATCATCCCCTTCATTCTTGATTGCCTTTAGTTTCATAAATGGTTTGGTATTCCTCAAATATGTGACTTAATTTCATTTAAAAATATATTTTGACCATCTAAAACATAATAAAAGTATTTTACAAACCCACTTTTGATTCATTAAGACCACCAGTCCATTAACTTGAACTGCCAAATTAACTCATTTTTAAGCAGGTCTCTGAAAGAAGTTTTCCTTTTCTAATTCAAAGAGCCCTGAGACTAAAAAGTCAAGCTGTGAAAAACCTAGTGCTATTTGCAACTACTTAACCATATAGGAATCTCTTAGTGCTCTGTAATCAACCAAAATCTAGAAATAGACTGTGTAGCAAAGCTGATACAACTCCATAATTAGATACTAATATCAACTCTGTAAGTTCATATTAGTCCCTAATAGCAACTTCTTATATTCATCTAAACAACATCATTCACATTGATAGAAAGTTCAACAATATACAAGAAAGGGAGGCAGGAGAAAACAGAGGGAAAGAAGAAGAGGAGAAAAGGGAAGGAAACAGGAGGACTGAATGGTCATGACCCCCCCATACCAGACCTGAGCACCTCCCACAAGTATGGACGCTGCCCTTTCAGATAAAGCTGTGTCCCTAGGCTGCCTGTGACTCTGCCACTCCTTGCTTTTTCTATTATTTTTCACAATAATAGATTTTGATTTAATTTCAGGTCCACAACACCAACACTTATGAGGCATCACTACTCTTATTTTACAGATAAGACCTAAAGACATCAAGTGATGGACCAGGGTTAAAATCCAGGATTCCAATGAGGGTCGGATCTATCCCCTGCCCCTTGGCCCAACTTTACCTACCATTGAGTGTTTTGTGTATGTGTGTGCAAGTGTACACAATTGTGGGGGGGCAGGGGAGTTTCTGTGATACAGGAGGATCTTAGCTATTAAAATTATTCCACCAAAGCTTGCCCTATCATGAATCAGAGGCAGTGTTTTGTCTTAGAATTTTTATTCTGTGCAAATATGTTGGTAAGAAAACACTTTTGAGATTACAATCAAAATGCTATTTGCCTCTATTGGTTTCCTTAAAACATTACATGCTGATATAATAAGTGGAAAATTTCCACATTTACCATGTCAATTCTTCGTTGTCAAAAAGAAAATGGTTGTATCTATAAATGGTTGTAAAGTAATTGTAGTGAATTATTTCAAAATAATCCATTTCTGTGCTTTTACAGCAAATAATACATATAACCACTCTTCAGTGTCTGTTTCCAGTTGGATGGTGAGATACTGAAGGTGGTGCTATTTTATTCAGCTTCTGTGCTCAAGGCTTAGGTGGGGTATGGCACCAAGGAGACAGACATTTAATAAATGGGCTTTGCTTGGATAAACAAGACAGCTGGCAGATTTTTCAATACAAATTGGAAGCCACACCATTGTCTATTTGCCTAGCTTTACACTATTTCCAAACACTTCTTGCTATTTTATTTGACCTAGTCTTTGCTGTGGTTTGAATGTTCTCCCCAAAACCATGTGTTGGAAACTTAATCCCCAGAGCAACAGTATTGGGATGTGTTTAGGTCATGAGTACTCCAACCTTGGGAATGGATTAATGCCAATGAGAAAGGACTTAATACTGCAAGTTCTATTTTGCCCTTCCACATGCAGCAAAAAGGGACTCACCAGATTCTACCCTTCCACCTTGGATTTTTCAGTGTCCAGGACCATGAGCCAGATAAATTTATTTGCTTTATAAATTATCCAATCTCAGTTATTCTGATATAGCTATAGAAAATAGACCAAGGCAACCTTCCCACTTGCAAATTAAGTAGGACATATATTACTGGTCCTATTATATAAAGGAAAAAAGAGAAACAGCGAAGTCTAGGGACAAATCTAGGGATGGTTAACAAGCAATGGAGTCTAGATTGGAACCCAGGCTTTCAAGTGGAAAGTGCCCTTCTCTTCCCCTCACCCAGCCTCTCACAAATGCCCCCACATCTATGGAGCAACTAATACCTGACTGACACGCTCCACATCCAGCCTGGATCCCTGGGTAGCTCTCATATTTACTGCACATTTTTATGAGCATCCCTTATGACAACCTAGCTTAATCCAGGTCTCTTCAAAATACATATGAACTCATGTCCAAGCTCCTCCCCCACAGCTTTTCCTTGACCCCTATACATCAGTTTTTCCTAATTAGTTTTGACTCATCTCAATTTTTATTGAAGTCTGCTCTATGAGAATTCTGGAATGCAATCTATTTGTATGCTAGAGTTTTTCTCAGTGTTTATCTCATTTAAATTCCAGGAAGCCATGGGAGTGAGGATCATAATGACTCATTTTGAGTATTTTTCCACTGAAAATAAGCCCAGGGACCACAGTGGGGCCTGGACTGATGTAAAGATAGAGCCTCCTGAAATGTGATCAGAGGATGCTTTAAGGTACTCTAGGGGCTGGGCTCACAGGAGACAGATCTCCTTCTGTCTTCTTTTCTGTCTTGCCTAATGGGCAGAATTAAAGATCAGACCCTATTAAGACCAAACAAGGGAAATATCCTCCTTGCTGTGAACTACTTGCTTCACAAGGCTCTTTCCTTCAGGGCCAAGATGAGGGCATGTCAGGAGCTGGCCTTCCCTTTGCCCCTGAGGTGCCTTATTTGTGTCACCCTGGTCCCACTCTACTGTCCTGATCCTTTTTTGGCTAGATCCTCCCTAAAGGAAGAAGTTCACAGGGCTGAGGCCATGTGCCCACCCCTCTTTTAGACCATAAAATTCAATGGCCCTGAACCTGCTCCCAGAGGCTACACAAGCCTCTTCCCACCACAGACTCACCTGGGAAATACACCCCTAAGCAGAAGAGGGTGTCCACACAGCTGCACAGAAGGCCCTTTATAAGAGATACTGGATCATGGATGGAAGAAAATGTGACCACAAGCCAACACTCCCGATCCACTGTGCTCCTGGACAGAAATTTAAGGATTTGAGAATTTGAAATTTGAATCTGGCCTTTCATATCCTTATAAAGATATATTTGTTATGGTAAGGGGACAGAATATTTTTAATTTAAAAATATTTTAGCTATTCAGACATGTGGTCCGTGGCCTTACAAATGCTAAACATCTTGAGAGAAGAGGACTTAAAAGTCAGAAGCCCTGTGGGAAAACAACTCCCCTACACACACACACACACACACACACACACACACACACACACACACACATACCTGCTGTTGTAGGTTGGCGTTTCTTATATATGACCATTGCGATCAATTCCTCAGGTTGATGCCTGCCAACTAAAGAACTGAGGCATTGCATGTGTGTGTGTGGTGGGGGATGAGAGCAGCTGTAGCATGGCCACCCCTGAAGGCTGAGGATATCTTCGGTGAGGAAGTATAGTACTCCACATGGGAATTTCCCTGACATTGTCCATGAAGCGGGTGGCTAAAGGGGTGGGGGCCCTGCACATGGAAACTGGAATCAGATCTTCCTCTTTCATGAAGAGAAATTCTGTACAGCATTACCTCAGCCTCTTCAAACTTCTCCCCGACCCTCCTCTTCCTTTAGGCTCTTCAGGTTCCCCACAAACCCGCACACATGCACATACGCACAGGTGCACGCACACATACACACACAACATGGATTGAATTTTTTCCCAGGGCCTTCCCAGGCCCTCAGGCCTCCCGCTCTTCTGCTACCTCCAACCACTAGTTTAAATTGCCTCTGTACAGCCATTTTTATGGCCTTTGGAGAAAGTGTAATGTTACCAAAATATGGATTGTATACACTTGGGCATACATGAGGAGGTAATAATAGACCCTGTTTAAGGTTACATTCAGCTACAAAGTTCTAAGTCACAGTCCCAATCCAGGCCCAACCAGGCCCAGACCAGACCAGGCCAAAATAAAAGTCATTCCTGGATGTACCCATTATGAAGACCATGAATGATAAGTTCACCCCAGAGCCCTATCTTTTGGGGCCCTATTAACAGCACACTGTCAGTCCAACTCCAGCCACTAGGTGAAGAGACTTGCAGACCCCAGCTCTCTGTTAATGATTCTGCTAGCCTAAAGCCCTGTGCACTGTTCCACCTCATATATGGAGAAGGTTGGGCAGGGGGCGGAGTGCATTCTAGCCTCTGGTGGTTGGAGAATTGGCCTAAATACACCCCTCCCAGTCTCACCTTAAGTGCTGCCCTGGGGTCCCTGAAGGAGACTTTGAACAAATCATACTTTCCTTCCCACCTGTTCTAGCCTGTCCTCTTTGGATCCACTATACAAATACAGGGCTCACTGCCAAGGTGTGGGAAGAGTAAATCTTTGCTCATTCTTTTATTCATGCCCTTACCTCAGCAGACGGTGCTGAGGAAAAACAAACCTCACAAAATCCCTGTGGGCTCTAGCAGTCTGGCAGTCTCTTCTTTGCTCCTCTCTGATTACCTCTGAAAAGCAGAGGCTAGGAGAAGAGGCCCATTCCAGCTCCCACGGGAGCAGCAGGTGCCTTCCTCCTCCTCTTCAAGGGTTCAATTACTCTTGTACAGCACCTGTTACATGCTGGGCCTGGGACCAGATTCTAGGGACCAGAATTCAGTGATACCTGGGGCAACTGGGAAATCAATATTCATGGATTCCTGGAGTGGCATTATCCCTACCTCACCTTCCTAGCCTCCCCTCAACTGTCAGAGAGCTTCTGGGCCCAGGAGGGCCAGGCTGTGTGCTTAAAATATTAAGTGAGACAAAACAGGGCCGCCTTGGCTATAGACTCAGGAGCCACTATGGGGAAGAAGCAGCAGCCAGGTTAGCTGAGGGCTCTGTGGAAAAGGGGACTCTCTCCATAAGGGCTCCAAGGCCAAGGCAGTACCCACAGATGTTACTGTCTTTGCAAAACAGTCCAGACCTCAGGAACTTCCAGGACTTTCCTCTTCAGATCTTGGGAGGGCTCCCTTTATATGAATAATACTGAAGGAGTTTGGAAGGAGTCTGCCGGGGGGCTATGGTTTGCCAAACTCCTTTTATACAGAAGAGAGACAATGGGCTCAGGATGACCCACTGTCCTGTTTTGCCCAGGAATGAATGGTTTCCTGGGTACTGATTTTAGTACCCAAAGTACCTAGTCTTCGGGTACTAAAATCAGCATAGTTCTGGGAAAACTAGTGTTAAGGTCTGTAAACAAGTCAAAATAACACCTGGTATTTTGCCAGGGGAATGTTAGAGTTCATAAACAAGTTTGGATGGTGCCTGGCAAAATGCCAGAGGGAGTGGTTTGAGAAGTAACAAAAGTGAGCCATTAAGTATGGAGATTCCTTATTGGTTGACTGATGTATCTAGTTTATGCTAATTAAGATAAGCTGTGCAAAATGTATAAATAGCTCTGTTGTCCTACAATAAACCGGCTTCCACTCCTGCTGTATCAATCTACACAAATTGTTTGTCACCCCCCAGCTATTCTGCTGCAGCCGGACTGCGGCAACTAGGAAGATGGGTCACCCTGAGGAACTGTGAGGAATGATTCTCCTTCCCTGACACCAGCTAATGGTTCCACTAGCCCAAAACTGTCCTTATTGTTCTACCTTGTACATGGGGAAGACTGGAGAGGGGAGGGAGCTCTCATGGCCAGGCTAGGAACTATCAAGGGAAATGGGAGGAAAGTGTTTGTGGTCTTTGTGAGAAGCTATCTTTGGGGAACTGGGACCCATGTGACCCCACACAAATCCTGGGGTGTCAAGAAGTGATTAGGGAAGAACCTGAGTAAACTGCCAGATCAAGGGGCTTGAGCTGTTCCTTGAATCCTTTGCACAGGGTACAAATGCTGGGCAGAAGATGGGGAAAGATGTCTTTAAAATCTTCTGCCAGGTGTCTGTTACTCCCAGGGATCCAGAAGGCAGACATGGGGGAAAGAAGACTATAGTACTGTGAAGTCATAAGCAAGCTAGTTTCTTTAAGACTATCCTGGAAATAGGGCCCTCTCAAAGGGTATTCAAACTGGAAGTAGTGGGGCAAATATCTCAGAAGGAAAAGGAGTTTTGAATTGAAGTTAATCTGACAGGGCAAGTTCCATGAAGACTTCCCTGCTTAGATCCCTAACTTGACAAGTAAAAGACTCAAATCCTTGGAGGCTGAATCATTAGCTCAGTTTGGGTGAATACAGGAATGGGTTGAATATAAAGTGTCTCCCCCAAATGCTCACATGTTAATGTAAGAATGTTCAGAGCTGAAATAATTCAATTCTGAGAACTAACCTAATTAATGGATTAGCTTAATGATTTGATGGATTAATAATTTGAATGGATTAACAATTTGATGCATTAGGTGAATAATTTGATAGATTAATAATTTGAAAGGACAACTGTACTGGGTGGAAACTGAAGGCCACAAGAAGTAGGTCACTGAGGGCATGCTCTTAGAGTTTTATCTCCCCTCCCCTCCCCTCCTCCTCCTCCTCCTCCTC